CGGAATTTGTGCTCTGCATTTAACCCTTTTCAATGGAGAATACAGCATTATGAATAGAGGACTTGTATTTTAGCCAGAAGCAACAGTTTGAAGTAAAAAAACATCTTAATGATGGATTTGTTTCTTATAAATATGCAACTTCTGGCTTCACAAGATGTTAACTGATGGTTAACAGCTGTTTGAACTCTCATTCTGACGGCACCCATTCACTGCAGATCCAATAGTGAGCAAGACACACCGTGAACACACACACCCGGAGCAGTTGGGGCAGCCCCAACTGCTCCCCCAACAGCCCGGGGAGCAGTTGGGGGTTTGGTGTCTTGCTCAAGGGTCTCACCTCAGTCATGATATTGAGGGTGGAAGAGAGCGCTGGTCATTCACTCACCTACAATCCCTGCCGGACCTGAGAGTCAAACCCGCAACCTTCGGGTTACAAGTCTGACTCGCTAACCATTAGGCCACGACTGCCCCCTTGTAATGTGAGATAAGATAGTGATAGAACACTATTAGAACATTAGAACATTTAGCACAATAAGGAGTTCATAAGAAAATGCAAAATTGCAGTGTTGGCGAGTTTTTAACATGGGTTTGGGAAAAATTGTGTTTGCTCACTTGACATTTTTCAATTCAATTCAATTCAATTCAAGTTTATTTGTATAGCACGTTTCACAATACAAATCGTTGCAAAGCAACTTTACAGAAAATTACGTTTTTACAATATTTCGTCGTAGCTTATCAGCGGTGACTGTCAGTTAATGTACATATGGCAGAAATGTACGGAAAATTATTTAGCTCTTCCTGTCCTATACCTGTCCTACATTTGACGTTATCGGTTTGCTATTATTATTACTCACATTAATCACTGTAAATATGGAAACGTATGTTTCTGCGAACCTTTCTCGAATCCAGCCAGGAGTTGCATAATGTGCATCCAAACTCAAAACTAACATAAGACCATGTAGTTTGGCCATTTCACAAACAGCCAAATGAGAGTGAGGCATTCACTTCAAGAGCAGGCATTGCCATGTATGAACTCACGAAAACATAAAGTATTTAAAAAAAAAACCTCAAAGAGATACTTGCACCTTCTTTATGGTGCGTATTAGTACCTTAGAGTAGCATTATGTACCCTTACGGTAGTAATATGTACTATCACGGTACTTTTATGAGCCCTTTAGGGTTAAAGAAGGTACAAGTGTCCTTTGAGGGTTCTGCCCCAGTGACAAGCTGTTGTACCCCTAAAGGTATAATTTTTGCACATTATTTTCTGAGAGTATATGGAAGAAGGCTTGTGTCAAACCCCCTCATTCCAGCCTACCGTAAAGTTTCGACACTCCTCCGTATGGACTTACACAAATCCGGAAACATGCGACTCATGCAACTTTGATGTCCACACACACGAGCCCATGAGATCCGTGTTCGCTGTGTGCAGTGAACGGAAGAGTGGCGGCAGAGAGTTTTGTATGCCGAACACGTGTGCCGTAGACCTGAGCTTTACATTGAGATTCCGACACTGTCAAACCCGATGTCAGATCTCCAAGCGCAGACTGCAGATTCTCAGTCTGGACGGTAATCGCTCCACTGTGTAAATGTAAGTTGTGTCAGATATAGCACGCACGTCTCAGCTCTAATTCGTCCAGGTCTTAAGCACCAAAGCAGATGTGGGTGATCATTTTGGACGTGTGCATAGATTTCCTTTCTGGGGCATGTTGACTTATTTTTACTGTTTTCCCCTTTAGGGTTGCTGGAGTATGTGATAATTACTAGCAAACCCCTGAAACAGCCCCACGGGTGACCGCTTTCCTCCTTCCCAGTCATGGACCGGACTATTGATTTATTCTGATTATCAAAACATACAAAGATAGCATTTCGAGCCAAACCTCATGCGGAAACATCAAACAGAGTTTTCCTCCCCCTGCCTTCTGCCGTACCTATCAAAGTCTCTTATTTCCCTTCACCATTGCACATTCTCTTCGCTTGAAGCTGTCAGGGGGCCTGTGAAATCTGGCTCCGCTCGTGCATTCCATGCATTTTTGTGTCAATGTGAGGGTAATGGACCGAGAGCCTGGCGGTGTAATACAGATAGTCAATCTTAAGCACTTCTTGACCTCTTGTCACTGCTGATAGTGCTAAGAAACAAACTGAACAGGTTTCACACGGTTCCCGAACAATCCAAGAAAACCTGGCTGGCTTGTTTTCTGGCAGTTGTATATATTTCAGAGCAAGACCGCTCTAAAAGTGTCACTTAGCTAATCGTGGCCCGTGCTGCAGGGGAGACGCATCTGTGTGTGCATGGCATTGCTATACAGTGCTTTCAGTACAATTAATGTTTAACACAAAACAGGTGGCCTCTTCTGGGTGCGTGGGTTCAAGCAAACGGAGCATAGCTGCAGATATGTTCCATAAATTCTTCCTATATAATTCAGGCCAGGGCCACACATAAGGTAAAATCATAACAGCTCATGTTTACACAGTTCATGAGCCTGAAGACAGAGCTGGCTGCTCTTGAACAAAGGCCATGCTTTAGTTTTTGGTTTTGTTTTTTTCTAACCAAATATATGTGTACATGTCCAGTGTGGTTCTGCTGGATTTACAGATATAGATCATTTATTACTATTATTATTATTATTATTATTATTATTTATATAAAATATAGAACAAATGTGGCTTTTAATCCGATTAATCTAATTAGTAATCAACAGAATAATAAATTATCAATATAATTGTTAATTGCAGCAGTCTTTGTTTTCTGTCATCACAGCCTCACACAACCGTTTAGCCTATAGAAAACTGGAATATTCTCTATGCTTTGTTTTGACTGTCAACTTGAAGGGAGGCATAAGAGAAACAGAACCTGGGCCTCTTGGACGAGAGGAAACTATGCATTCATTTAGGATCATTCCATCATTGGGATTATTCAACACGGAACCTCTGCGGTCATATGTGGACTTAACATTCCATTGTTTTCCATTTCATGACTGTCAAAAATATACAGAAGTTCTTTAGACATGGGGGCCACAAAGTGAAAGCAAAGGGTTTTGAGACCTTATAAAAAAGATCTTGGCTTGGGCACTCTTGAGGTGTTGGAATGCGAGCGGGAAGCTTCCCTTATATACAATGTGCTTTCTGGGAAAGTGGCTAAATCATTCGTTCACTCAATCCCCCCTTTCTAGACCTCCCCTCTGTTGCCCATTTTTTTTTACTGTATCCTTGGGATGCACAACGCAGACACGTTCTGCCGTTTTGATATGTATTTTGGAACGTGTTAAAAACTGATGTGAGACTACGACACATGTTCGTCTAGCTCCAGAGTAGCTAAAATTGGAGGTGTCAATTGTTATTTTTGCTGCTTGCATTTTTCTTGTCCGCTTTGCCTCTTAGGTCATACTGGGAACTGATTTTAGCAAATGACTGTTATTAATATTTCCCCAAAAGCTGACTTTTCTTGTTTGTTAAACTGCTATTTGCAGGTAATAAATATATTTGATTTACTCAGTGGAGCACGCAAGCAAATGTTGAACAGAATATTCATACTCATTTTATAAAACCAAACTGAATGGTGAAAATCATTTTGAAGTGAAAATTTTCAAATAAAAAATTCAAAGTAAAAAAAAAATAAAAAGTTTAAAGTCATTGACACCAAAGGTTATTGTGTTACATGCTGAATTGCCGCACTGAATAACTAAGACCCCGTCCACACGGAGACGCGTCTAGCTGTATACGCATACTTGTTGTATCGTATAGGCGTTTCGTCCACACGGATCCGGCGTTTTGGGAGAGTGAAACCGATATTTTTTTAAACCGGGTCCCAGAGTGGATAAATCTGAAAACACCACCCTTGCGTTTTCGTGTGGACAGCGAATCCGTATATTTTCTGAAACAATGACGTCATTAGCCCACGTCTCGCCTCTAGTCAGACACCGCTACGTCACATAACAGCAACAAAAAAAATGAACAAACACTGAACGATTGTCTTTTTATTAACTAATATTGACACAGATTAATACATGTATTGTTCCATGTTCGTTTCACAACGCATAGTCCAAATCTTCTTCTCTGTTTTTAGTGTATCTCTGTGGCAGAATTACAGCGCCACATGCTGGTCCGGAATGTATACTACATCGTTTTGTGTCGGTTTCGTGGTTTTGTGTAGATATTTCTTGAGACTAGGAGAAAAAAAAGATCGGATAGGGAAAGCTCTGACTTCGTGTGGATGTTAGCCTTAGAAGATTGAAATGCAACGTACAAGTCATTGGGACTTCTGTTATTATGCTTTTTGTAATAGGGATGTGCAATATGTATCATCTTTGATAATATTGCAATTGTTGTTTTAATGATGTGAAGTTGTTTTTTAACGATATGATGTCATCTGAAATGATTGATTACTGTATGACACTCACTTGCCTTGAAAGTGCACGCTTTCACAGATTTTGAAAAGTTTCGGGAGTCAGCTGCAGGCTTATTATTATTAAAACTAAAATGAAAACTAAGACAACAGAAATATTACTTGAAATAAAATAAATATTAACTTAGTATTAAACTTATTTTATTTCAGCTATTTGCCCAGACATAGTTTCTGATGTTGGTACTTGAAGTACTAAAATAACTAAAACTGAAATGAAATTAATAAGAACTATTACAAACTACAAAGAACTATGATAAGATAAGATAAAAGCTCTCCTCCAACCATTTCACCGTTTGGATAACTCTACTTGCCGTATTTCTCACAGCGAGTGTCATGGTGAATGCCCAAATCCACTGTAATTTTAAAATAATACTGTTTTTGTGTCACGGAATGTAGTTTTAAGAGTCTTTAGGTGATAATGTACTTGTACTTATACGTACATGTCACTGGTACTACCCCAATGACAACCTGTTGTAACCCTAAATGTATATCTTTTGTACTTTTTATTTTCCCTAAGAGTGCTGAATCGTCATTTTTGGATGTACTAGTCCATTATTAATATAAATGTCCTTCTGTCCATTTCTGTGTTTCTCAGGAGAGGTTCTAAGCCTCATGGATGACCTTTTCTCGGGTCTGGGCTCATCGTGTGTGGTAGCAGGACGCAGAAGGGGAGAACATCCTCACAGTATGATCTACTCTCTCCTTTTCAAGTGCCTGGAGCCCGACAGCCTTTATAAGTAAGAGCCACAGCAAACATGGATGTCCAACAAAGATTGAAAAAGTCCTACATTATCAGCTCTTCATTTCAGTGAGATCTTCTAAAATCTTGTTCTATTGTGACTATAATCCTGGCTGAAAGGAACAGCATGCAGCAAAGCGACACCCTTCAGCCCTAATAAAATTCATAGTCATGATTGCTTTGTTATATGTTACTACATGAAAAAGTGAGTTGCTTTTTGGGATATTAAAATGATTATTGCTATACCAGCCTAAAGGGATAGTTCACCCCCCCCCAAAAAAAACTTAAACTTAAAACACTCAGGCCATCCATGATGTAAATGGATTTGTTTCTTCATCAAAAACGATTTGGAGAAATGTGTCATTCCATCATTTGCTCACCAATGGATCCTCTGCAGTGAATGGGTGCCGTCAGAATGAGAGTCCAAACAGCTGATAAAAACATCAAAATAATCCACAAGTAATTCACACCACTCCAGTCCATCAGTTAATGTTCTGTGAAGCCAAATGCTGTGTGTTTGTGAAAAAAAGCCTCTTTTTTGTTTTGTTTTTTTCTGACTAAAATACAAATGTGTAATTCATAATAGTTTAAAAAGTCAATCCAGTTGTCTTCTCGCATCAAAATCCACCAACATATGTGTTTTGAACTGTTTTGGCTTGTAAACAGTGCTTGATCTGTGCAGATTTCTCTCCTGATTCAGATAAGATGACTTTTTCAATGGAGAATACAGCATTATGAATAGAGGAATTGTATTTTAGTCAGAAACAACAGTTTGAAGTAACTCTTCATTTCAGTGAGATCTTCTAAAATCTTGTTCTATTGTGACTATAATCCTGGCTGAAAGGAACAGCATGCAGCAAAGCGACACCCTTCAGCCCTAATAAAATTCATAGTCATGATTGCTTTGTTATATGTTACTACATGAAAAAGTGAGTTGCTTTTTGGGATATTAAAATGATTATTGCTATACCAGCCTAAAGGGATAGTTCACCCCCCCCCAAAAAAAACTTAAACTTAAAACACTCAGGCCATCCATGATGTAAATGGATTTGTTTCTTCATCAAAAACGATTTGGAGAAATGTGTCATTCCATCATTTGCTCACCAATGGATCCTCTGCAGTGAATGGGTGCCGTCAGAATGAGAGTCCAAACAGCTGATAAAAACATCAAAATAATCCACAAGTAATTCACACCACTCCAGTCCATCAGTTAATGTTCTGTGAAGCCAAATGCTGTGTGTTTGTGAAAAAAAGCCTCTTTTTTGTTTTGTTTTTTTCTGACTAAAATACAAATGTGTAATTCATAATAGTTTAAAAAGTCAATCCAGTTGTCTTCTCGCATCAAAATCCACCAACATATGTGTTTTGAACTGTTTTGGCTTGTAAACAGTGCTTGATCTGTGCAGATTTCTCTCCTGATTCAGATAAGATGACTTTTTCAATGGAGAATACAGCATTATGAATAGAGGACTTGTATTTTAGCCAGAAGCAACAGTTTGAAGTAAAAAAACATCTTAATGATGGATTTGTTTCTTATAAATATGCAACTTCTGGCTTCACAAGATGTTAACTGATGGTTAACAGCTGTTTGAACTCTCATTCTGACGGCACCCATTCACTGCAGATCCAATAGTGAGCAAGTGATGTAATGCTACAAACTCATCTATATCTTGGATTGGCTGAGGGTGAGTACATTTTCAGCAAATTTTATTTTTTTGGGTGAACTATTCCTTTAATAATCAGAGACAACTACAACTAAGTGGTTGTTTTTACTGAGAAGTGTGACATTATTAAAACACTGGATCTCATTCACTAACCATGAATTTGTGCATGAAATCTGCATATGAACAAACACAAGTACAGCTGGCTCATGAGATCTGGTCTGTATAAAAGGTGTTTATTGTGTTTGATCCGGTTTTGAGGATGGCACACTTGGTGTTGCTTGAGGATCCTGCCTTAGAGAGTGTCATACATTTGCTGAGAGTGACAAAAGGCTGTAAAGAAACAGTTGTGTGGAAAGCCCTTTTATGGAGATGGTTTGGGCGTGTTTTATGCAAATTACTAACCTAGGGCACTCTGTCGCTCATTTATAATGCTCCAACTTTATTATTATTAGAACAAGGTTAAGAACAAATCCATGTATGCATCATGTGTTGTGATTTAGGGTATTATTTATTTATTTATTTAAGAGAACTCCTGTGTGTTTAAATGATCCACATAATTATTAGTTTAGTTCAGTAATAATGTTTTTAATACTGTCGTTGCCATTTTGGTTTCATTTGTCTTTGGTTTAAATTGGCTTTGAGGATACTCACAGTTCGGCAATGAAGACAGGAGGAAAAGCAAGAACAAGCACTGCTGTGTCAGTGTCTTTCCATTTTCATCATAAGCAAGTGTGACTTGACAAAAGTATTTGCTCTGGTGGCGTGGCGTTGCTGTGCCACATCCTGTTTTTGGTGCTCATTCAAGGCAGGTTGTAATTTGTTTGGAATATGGCTCTCTTTTTCATGGAGGACAACCGCAGCTGAGCCTTATTAACATCAGTGCATTGTGGACTCAACGGCACCAAGTTTTGCAATGGAGAATAACAAGATCATCCTCATCTGACTGATTTTAGTCAAATGACAACGCAACATAATTTGAGTACACACACCAGAAGAATGTGAGAATATTTTTAATACATATAATATGTATTGCAGCATACCATGCTATTTCCTGTTTTTGGGTGTGTTTCACATTTTTCACTCAACTCCTTAATTTGAACCACATTGGTTCAACAATATAGGACTTTTGTTAATGATGTCACACACAAGTGTTAACAACTTATGCTAATTAATAATTTCAAGGTCGCAAATAATGTCAATTTTAGTTAATTCACACAGAACAATAAAATGTAGTTTATTTTTTTAAATCATGTTTGCATGTAGTATGTAATTGGCGTACACGCTATTTATTTATTTATTTTTGCTACCCGTCATTTTGTTTTATTTTATGGTTGTTTCATTGCAGGTTCCCTCTTATGCCATAGTCTAGGGTTCACTTACTCATTTATGCACATGCGCTCTCTTCGAAAACGGTCTTGTTTGTAGACATGATTGCAGTTTGAAATATATTCATATTTAAATATATTGAAAGATATTGAATGTTTCAGGAAATGCTGAATTATTGAACTATGTCAGTAACGTTCGGACCAAGTTGGCTAATTATGCTTTTGAAAAACGCATCCCTGATCTTTAATGCACTTAGGGCCCTATCATACACCCGGTGCAATACGGCTTCAGGCGCGACGCAAGTGTTTTTTGCTAGTTTCCGCCCCGACGCAGTTGTCATTTTCACGTCCTGCGCCACATTGTTTAAAGGGGTCATATGATGCGATTTAAATTTTTCCTTTCTCTTTGCAGTGTTACAAGCTCTTGGTGCATAAAGAAGATCTGTAAAGTTGCAAAGACTAAAGTCTCAAATCCAAAGAGATATTCTTTATAAAAGTTAAGAGTCAACCACGCCTACCTAAAACGGCTCGTTCTAACACCCCCCCACATTGAAAAGCATTAGCTTTGTTGTTTTGCTAATACTTCAAAATGAACCTGTGAATGTCTGTGCATTTTGCTCATTTTGTGCAATATAGAGTGCATCCAATTTCTGTTTGTTAGTAAGGAGAATTTTGGTATTTAGTCATCTCTAAATCAGCCTAACAAACAGGACAGATTTTAAAAATTATGGTTATGTGCCAACAATTTTAACAATCAACCTTAATGTCCAGCATAGCATAGTTGAGTCACGGGATAAAGTGGTGAAACTTTGAGAACAGACCATGAAAGAACGATCCTTTGAGGGCAGAATAAATCATGGCCACTGACACAGCGAAGCATGATAAACCTGTTATGACCCATACCGTGGCGTGAATTATGAGATGCATGAATTATGCATATGCTCTCTGAGGTTCAGGGTCCAAATCTCTATTAAGCTGTAGATGTGCTCATTGTAAGGCCAAAACAATTCATAAACTATATCTTAGGTACATCTGTCTTCTGCTGTTGTCTCCTTAAACACGTTTGATTGCTGTTCTGGTATATTTCACAGTTTGAAAGAACAATTAAAAAGAAACCCTTCAAGAAGAGGGAAATGTGTGTTATTTTAGCTACTAACGCTCTGGAAGGCAACCCATTTCAAGACTATGACAAGATCTTTAAATGCTTCCTGATTTCTTTTTCCTAAATGGCTGATATTAAGATTAGCATACCAATGAGGAACACTGTAAACATTTTACTTCCAAAAGTATATATTTTTTTTTATGTGTCCGTGCTTCAGAAATGTCACATGTTTGGTCTCTGGAAAAAATAATCAAGATCTAGAGCATCAAACAGCCCAGATGCATATTTTCAAGCACAAAGCAAACTCCTAAAAGCCATATGCCCTCTAGCATTGATTTAGCAGAGCTTCACTGTGAAAGCATAATTTCAGAGTTAATTATTTTTGGTGTAAAAACATATAAGAAAACTTTATGGAATGACTAGGGATGTAACGATTAACCGTGAGCCGGTTGAAAATTGATTCAAATATGTGACGATTCAAATCGGTTGAGATGCTAAACAAATCGCGATTCAATTAGGGGTAGGAGTTTATATGAATGTATGTCTGAGGGGAACTTACTGTCTTTAGAAAAGTTTAGATGGTATTTCTTCTTTTCATTATTGCCTCTGTATAATGCATATTAAAGTTCATAAGTGCAGCGCTGCTTTGTTTACAGCGGAAACCAAGGAAACGCTTTAAGCGCCACCTGCTGGCAGAGAGTGAATCTGTGTCTCATTCAGCTCGTCTGCTGTTTCTGTTTCATGCAGATATTTTGTATGTATAGTTTCACAAAACAGAAGCAAAACCATTCTGTTTTTGCTTCAAATTTCGAAATTATACAATGTAATTTAGATTAAAAACTGCTCATGTTGCATGTATGCAGCATCTTTGTTTGGATCATGATTAAAATGCAGTGGTTGCCTCTAA